ATACCGTGCCATAGTCTAGAAATACTGATCTGGAATTCTAACCCTCAACTCAAAGCCCTTACTCTTAAAAAAGAGTTCCACTGTTTCCTGCAGGTCAGGTGCTACACCTGTTTGATTGTTTTAGTCTTTAAGGCATCACACGTTTATTTACAACTGTAAATGTCATGTCACTGGCACTTAGAACTTATGGATTACTTTATTTTACACTGACTCAGGTTCTGATCTGTACAACTAAATATGCATTAAAATTTTTATCCTGCACCTGGGAGTAGAACATGTATCTTCCCACAAAAGTTCCTTCTGCTTAACTTTGGAAAACATCATGAGATGGTCAATTTGAGATAGAAAGTTTAATTTCCAATGGAAGAGGGTGTCCTTTCCACTTTGAAAATACTAGAGCAGAGTTAAAATACCTATGCTAACACTCAAGAGTTTTAAAACTTCAGAATAGTATGGATGAAAAAAAAATCTTTTATCAAAGTTAACTATAATACTACTTTAAAACCTAGACTCTAACTCTTAATGGCCACAGTCCTGTTGGTCTACCCAAGGTGTTTTTGCACCTTGATGTGGCTAATTGTCAAGGTGCTGGGATGCATCTTGGTTTTTCAGTGGGTGTATGACCAGTGATGTGACAAAGATGCATTCTGGTACAGTATCCATTCTGGCTAGCATATATAAGAGCAACTGGAGGTGCAGGCTAAGAGGTACCAAGATGTCCTTTTCACTTTCCATGGGAAGAATAATATGATAAGCCCAAGGTTCTGGTGTCACTGAGGAGAAGCTGGAACATATCATGGTAATGATCTCATTAGTTTAGATGAGGCTAGACTGTTACTGTTCTTTCTAAACTATTACAGGCTTTAATACTCTACTTGAAGCAGGGTTATTTATTGATTGATTTATTGGATGTCTATCCCACCCATCTAGACCAAAGGTCTACTCTGGGCGGTTTACAAATTTAAAAAGAATAAAACCAAAAACATATATTATACGTCCAAGATGGCGAAGTATAAGGGTTTCAAAGTAAATGAATTTACTGGTTTTGTGATGCCTCAGAAAAATAGAGGGTGGCAGCCAAGTAAATTCCGCTGCTTAAGGATAAAATGGCAGTGTTGCTTGTATTCCACATATACTGATGGGACTAGCAATGAATTCTCTTTCAACATGGGTGATGGGACAGCATCCTTCACTGCACCTGAGACAAGGAGACTCGTTTAAAGGGTGCAGGGCAGGTTGTGTGATCCACGCTACCCTTTGCTCCCATACTACGCCTTCATTCCTGATCTCCCAGCAACCGTTGCATGTAACCAAATGAAAGAGCCAACTTTGGGAGACAAATGTGCAATAATGGGGCATGAGATCTAGTGTCAGTGCTATGGAGAGGCTGCTTCCCTTATTCAGTAGGCCAGAGTCCTGTTACAGAGACCCTGCATCCTGTGAGTGACAAGCAATATGATACAGTCCTCAGTTTACCACAATGCAGAATGTTTACCTAGGTTGCCTTCTGAGGGAAGAAAGATATCCAAGAATCTTAAGAGTTGTTCTTAGAGCACCACCCTTTGGAACTGGTTACCTATCATGTTCTGCATTGCCTTCTTTCCTCCAAATAATCTTGGATTCTGTAAAGCATTTCAGTTTAGTTCAAATCTGAATTAAATTGTTATGGTAGTTTAAATTTAGGCAGTATTTATGTTTAAGCTATTATAAGCAGCACTGACTGGTTGATTGATTTGTGTCCTAGAATCTTTAGAAATTGGATGAATCAAAAGTGCTTATAAATAAGCCAATGGAAAAAGAAAGAAAAAGACTAGGTCTTGCTGCATAACTGTATGAAGAGTGAAACTACAGTGGGGTCTCGACTTACGAACTTAATCCGTATTGGAAGGCAGTTCTCAGGTCGAAAAGTTCTTAAGTCGAATCTGCATTTCCCATAGGAATGCATTGAAAACCATTTGATCCGTATCTGCTCTTTTCGTCCATAGAAACTAATGGGAAGCTGCTATTCCGCCTTCTGCCACTAGAGGGGGATATTTTTTCTTTTTTCCTTTTAACCTAAGATGACTTAGCTTTAAAAAAAAGGAAAAAAAAGAGTTCGTAACTCGAATCTAAGTTCGTAAGTCGAGTCCATATATTCCTATGAGAGCAGTTCGTAAGTCGAAATGTTCGTATGTCGAGCTGTTCGTAAGTCGAGACCCCACTGTAGTGGATGGCAATGCACGGATGCTGTTCTTTCAGGTGAGGCTTTATTGTGCAGCTTCCCTTCCTCATTCGTGCAAGTTTAGGGGGAAGTCCTATCTTATTTGTACTTTTCCTCTGTTTACTCACTGCTTCTTTCATTGTTTTTCTTACCATAGAAAAAGCTATTAAGTAGAGAAGGTCTCTGTGCCCTTTGACTGATAGCATTAGGTGCTGTGTATCTACACTACAAAGTTAAAGCCATCTGAAACCACTTTAACTGCTATGGCTCCAGCCTAAGGAATTCTGGGATTTGTAGTTTGGTGAGGTATATGTGCTCACTAGAGTTTGGGGGTACACTAGCCTCTCTCCAAACTACAAATCCCAGGAGATTGTAGAATGGAGCTTGTTAAATTGGCATAAAAGTGCTGTGATTCTCTGGTGTAGATAACATGCTTACTAGTGTAGATGAGGTTTTACTTCAGGCCAAGAAATGCATGCTAAATGTGTTCTTTATAAGCCACATTTTTCCTTTTCAGCCATGAACATTTGTTGCAATACATATGTGTACCTGACGCACAAAGACCTTTGGAATTACAATTTCAACATCAAGCTACTTGTACGTCTTGAAGTACAAGGGAACTTCCTACTCTGTTGAAATTAGTGAGACTGATTCTATTTAGAGATTACAGTGGAACTAAGACTGGGACTACGAGACCAAACCTTTAACCCTGAATTCATATGATCACCAAATAATCTTTATTTGTGGATGACCTAACCCTGAAACACAGAAGTCTGACAAGTATTACTCACAATTTTAAGCATCAAAATATTGAGTACTGATTAGGACATTCCTTTTCATATTTACTATATAGTGTATAGAACAGAACATGGGGGTATTTGAAGAGATTGTTGCCATTACATACCATCATGAATTTAGCCCACATCCAAAGTCATGCTGGTCCTGTAAAGCGCCCCCCCCCCCGGCATCTCGGAACAGTTCTGCAGATCCCAACAGCAGTTTTCAGGAGAGAGCTGGAGCACAGAGGGATGTTTGTTCCCTCTTCTTATTCTGCTGGATTGCACTGTCCTTGAAACAGATGTTGTGCACTAAATCAGCTTTCCTATCAGAACTAGCCCTTTAAAAAGTAATATTCTCACCCTTATTTCTCATACTGCAACCCATTTTAGGAGTTAGTGGCTAAAATCCAATAGTAAGTTGCAACTACCCAATTTTGTGACTTACTACTGGATTTCATATACTGAATGCAGTAAGCTTGAGCTACATAGCAATGAGATGGGATTTACAACAATGTTAACTGCCTTTAAGCTTAACACCTACCCAGTTGACTTCAGCCTGACCCTTTCTGATAATCATTCCACCCTGCCATACTTTTGAATGAATAGTGTCATGACACTTCCAGTATACACTGCACTTCTTTGTAGAAAGCCCATTGGTAGGTTAGGTCTATGGACTGTGGATTACATTCATTTGTCACATATTTCATATTATGTTTTATGTTTACAACCTACATGGCCTATTGATTTGGTTGACCTAAAGCCAGAAGAATTCAGTTTTGCTTGTCAGAAAGGCTATACAAGATGTTGGAAGCTGGACTTTGTGTAAAATACACATCACCGATTATCTCTTATAATGAAAAGTTTATCTTTTAATCCCAGGAACACTATTATCCTGGCTACAGGTGATGCTGGTTGAGAAATGGGAGTGTATTCTAGGAGAACATGGAACATAGGCACTGCTACTGATAAGAGTAATCAAAAATGCTAGGAAATATGCTAGTCAACTTTTGATATATGTATTTCAGTTTAAAGATTATTTGGCCAATATGAAGCATGTATATTTTTTTGTTTTTTTCCCCCCAAACATGCTAATCAAGATTATTTGCTAAATCTTGCTTTCAGCTTGGTTGTTCACCAGCCGCCTTGGGTCCC